CGGGCGCTGGCCGCGACCGACGGCCAGCGGTAGAACTCCTGCGGCGCCTGCCCGAGCGAGTTGTGGTTGCGGAAGAAGGCCGAGAAGGCGCCCAGCGCCGCCCACCGCGCGCACAGCTCCTCGCTCGCGTCGCCGCCGAACCCGCACACGTCCGAGCCCACGACGTTGAAGCCGTACAGCGACGTGAAGGCCAGCATGGTGCGCATCGACGCCCGGTACTTGGCCCATGTCGAGAGGTTGTCGCCGAGCCAGTGCCCGACGCGGGCGCCGGCCCCGGGGAAGGTGGACCGCGTGATGACGAGCGGCCGCAGCCCGGGCCGCCGCGCGAGCATCGCCGCGTGCGACGCCGTCGACATCATGGTCCCGTAGAGGTTGTGCGTGTCGTACATGGAGAGCCCGTTTTGGTGCCGCACGTCGGTGTTGACCGTGTGGTTGGAGAGCCCGCCCTGCGCGCCGTTCCACGAGTCCTTGTACGCGGCCTTGTTGTGGATGGCGTACTTGGGGTAGAGCAGGTCGCGGTTGGGGAGGCCCTTTTGGTCGTCACCAGCGGCTGCTGCGCGGGGAGCCGGCGGGCTGACGGGGGACCTGGAGCGCGGCATCTCGGCAGAGGAGCGGTAGCAGTCGGTGGTGTTGGCGGGCTGGAGCTCGCACGGCCAGCCGGGCAGCGGGCGGGGTCGTCGCAGGGGAAGTCGCAGGGGAAGTTGCTGGGCTCGTTCATGTCGATCCAGAGGGCGTCGATGTCGACGCCCGTGTCGCGGTGGAAGAAGCTGCCGAACATGGCGTCCCAGTACGCGCCGGCGTTGCGCGCGAACCAGTCCGGGAAGACGGCCACGCCGGGCCACACGACGCCCAGCCACGCGGAGCCGTTGGCGCGCTTGAGGAAGACGTCTTGCTCGAGGCCCGTTGTCAGCGGTGCGTAGTCCTGGTAGGCCACGGCCGGGTCGACCATGACGACGTAGCGCTGGTCGTTCGCGTGCAGGTGCGACACGAGCGCGCGCATCTTGGGCAGGGGGAAGCGCTCTGGGTCGAGCGAGAAGACGCGCCGCCGGTCCATGTAGTCGATGTCTGTCCACATTGTCTCCAGCGGGATGTTGGCCTTGCTGTAGTTGTAGACGACTTCGGCCACTTCAAACACGTCTTGGTAGCCGTACCTGGGGGCGGTCAGTGATGACTCTATGAGCTTCTCACGCGGGGAATTGCTGCCGAGGCGAGGAAATATGAAAAATGTGTCTTGTCTGCATGTTGGCACCTACCGGCACTGATGGAAGCCCAGCCCCCAGTACGGCGGCATGGCCGGCCGGCCGGCAACCTCGGTGTACTGCTGGACGACCTCGGTGGGCGTCTTGCCGGCAAAGAACCAGAAGTCGAGCACGCCGCCGAGCGTGTTGTACTCGAGGTACTGGCTGCCGTCGCGGGCCTTGTCAATGACCACGTCCATGCCGTTGGAGTTGAGGAGGAAGACGCCGTGCGACCCGCCGTCCCGGTGCTCGAGGTAGATGGGGTGCGCGCCGTACAGGTTAGCGCCCTCGGGGATGCCGTAGCTGTCCTGGTTCCAGAGCGTGCGGATGTAGTTTGTGGTGTTGAGCCGGAAGGCGTCCGAGTGCTCGCCGAGCCCGTAGAGGTACGGGTCCTGCGGCAGCCGGGTGCGCAGCCGGACGTACTGCGACTCGAAGACGAGCGGAGCCGCCGACGTGTCGAAGAGCACCTCGTGCGTGTCGCGGCGGCTGATTTTGAAGGAGAAGGGCGACGCCGTGTAGTCGAACCGGAGGCGGTTT